CAGCCTGAAAATTTGCTTTTGGGTCACAGTCTCTTTTGTCTCCGACCTCTATCAACTCACGACGAAGGCGATTCCTGGTTCTTGCGTGGCGCAGGCTAGCCCTTGTGTCTTATCGGTGCACCAGGTGTGGTCGGATCCGAACTGCAAAGAATACAGACAATTTCTCGAGCCGAGAACTCATTTTGTAAGTGGTAGCGACTTACACAGACGATGTCGTTATCGACAACTCCTGCCATGGAACCCGATCCGTACTGAATCTCGAATGGCTGTCCTGTCTCGGTACAAGTTGTGGATTTTTTGCAGTCGAACTTGAAAAGAACAATGAACGATAGTTGAGAAAAAGCTAACCTAACGGTAAGACTCCACCTCACCTTCTGATGAAAATCGCAAGCTAAATCAGACGCTTTGCAACCTTTGCACGGGACCCACAAATTGGAGGATCCAGTGTCGAAAAGTACTTGGAATGTCTGAGGAGGGGTTCCAATCTGGATTGTACCATAGTACTGCGCCTTAACAACCACCATTTTATTTAGCTGCAATGCCGCAAGTATAATTGTAAGTTCTCACATTTGAATAGTCAGAAAGGCCCTCATTGTAGGCAAGGTTTGAGTCGAATTTGTAGCCCTTGATATATTTCTGTTTCAAATATTCAGCAATCGAGTTTGCTTTGTATGCGCTTCGTTCATAGGTCGTTTTATACATAGGAACACTAAATCCTCCAATATAACGGAATTTTATTCACGTCAAAACGTTACTCACCGCACAAGAGCATCGAGACCGATGCATGCTGATAGGAGTAGAAGCAGGAGTTGAGTCGTCATGACACCACTAAATCTCTCCTAATCAGCTTCTACCTTTTATAGGAAGTCGACTATCAATGACGCCTAATACGGTTGCGTGTTACGTTATCAGACAGAGGGCGAAAGCCGCATGCGCTATCGCGGAATGCAAGCATTAGCAGAGCAAAGGAAACTTCGATTTTTCTCGCAATGTCCGGATAGTTGCGTTCGGAACACAGTTTTATCCTTAACACGTTGACGACATAATGAGCCACCGGTGGCTCATAAGGGAGTGGCTACGTGGGACAATATGAGCCACTAGTGGCTCACAGGGTACAGCATCGTTGTGTGAAACACACGGGGGTCGTACTTTTCCGCTGGGAAGGGAGGGGCGTACTTGGTCGTTGGGAGAAAGAAGGGGGCGGGCGTATGTGCGTTTGAGAGAAATCTGCTGTGCTGAGATAAATTTTTTCCCGGTTGTTGATTTTTCGCGTGATTTTGCCTGCTTCATGTGTACTATATATTCTTCCCCCTCGACGGAAAGTTTTTAGGTGAGAAACTGGAAAATGTGGGAGAAACAGTTAGGTAAGTGTGATGACGAAGGTGTCGTGGTCGTACC